GTTTTATTTTATTTTATTTTCTACTTGGACTGCAAAGCCTGCATACATCTTGTATGCCTTTCCTTTCAATGAATTTAATTGTTTGTATAAAATGTCCTATCTTGTTGTGCGACCAGAATATCGATCATGCGTGGGTTTTGATTGATCAAAGCTCTTTTCATATCATATCTTTTCGGCATCATTGATTTTTCCATTAATATATTATACTTTTCGAAATTCAAGAAAATTCGTTTTTCCAATTTGTTAAAAACAAAACAATTTCTAACTCTATTGAGATAAATGTACCATGTGATCCAAGTGGGATCAACCGATCTACAAATTAAACTCTAAATAAAAAAGTTTAAAATAAATAAAATAAAAATTATGAATATGGTAAAAACTGAACAAAATTGTTAAGAGTTTTTTAATCCAAGCACTTATAAGTCATTAAATTTCAATAGTTAAGTTGTGTATGATAATAAGAATATTCACTTAAAAATTATAAATTATTTTTATATTGAAAACAGACTTGAATGTGTACAAATCAAGTGGAAGGATTTTATTCGATGTAAAATAGAAAATAAAATGGAACTTAAAAACATAGGATTCATATTAAAACAAATATCCATATAATAAAGAAATAAATATGTAAATTGGGTATGAAAGAAATAAACTTTATTCTAAAATGCACAAAACTTGAAAAACAATACAAAAGAAACCAAAGAGAATAAGAAAATATTTATAGTGGTCATAAAAGAAGAATTATGTGTCCTAGCAGGGTGATATGAACTGTTCGATTGGTTGGTGACCGAGAAATAAACCCAAGAGTTATGGAGCTTGTCCCTCTTTTTGCTTTTTCATCTTGTTGAAGGATGGGTTGGCCATACAACCTGTACTTTATTCCCGGAAAATACGGTAAAGAAAAAAGAAAAGAAAAGAAAAAACAGTTGTTTGATTTGTTACATGTATAGATGAGCCTTGCTGACAAAGGGATTAGACCTATTCGTGTGGGCTGGGCTAGGGCTCGGCTTTTGTCAAATTTTGAATGGGTCTGGCTCGAGTTCAATACAGTGTAAGTCAGGCCCAAAGCCCGACCTATGAACAAGTCTAAAAGGGATGTATAAGGTAGAATAATTCTTCTAAAGAATGTAATAACTTGTGATTCTTTTACTGCCAGACATATGGTCTGGGTCTATATCCCTTGTTTCTGTTGCAACTTAAATGGTGTTTGGTTCCATTAATTCTCCAAAGCTCCTTTGAACTCAATGGTAATTATTAAAACATTTCTAGGTTTATTATTAATTTCTAAAATGTTCCTAAGTTTTTTCAAATTCATAAAACCCTAGGATTCCATAATCCCATTTTTAAAATATCCCAAATTCCCATAATTTCATTTTAAAATTCTCTCAAATTTTCATAATCTCATTTCTAAAATTCCCTAAATTTTGATATATTTTTAGCTGGCTGCTTTAGGGCAGTGAAAATTTGGGCATTCCTTGTTTCCAATGGGGAATGGGTGTCCCACCTCTAACCCGCCCCATTTTCATTTCTACATTGCTATCAAAAAATCGGTGCTAGCTCAATGCCAATGTCAAAATGACATTTCCCCAATGATAAGGCATTCTTTTACTATTTGGCTTATGTGGCACCTAGCTGTCATAAAATTAGAATAAACGTTTTATTCTGATTTTCAAAAAAAATTATATAAAACTTTATTTTTTTGCTTTTCTATAAAGAGAAAATTCTCGATAGGTACCTGTACTTTATGCCAAGTGCCAATTTACTAACTAAACTTTAAAATGAAATGCAATAATATAATACCCGGACTTTCATAATCTGATACCTATACTTAATGGACCATCAGTTATGTATATCACTTAATCTCATGTACGATTTAAGATTTTTTAAAATGCCAAAATTACCCTTAAAAAATATACTGTTCATCATCTTCTTTTTCAAGAAAATGAAATAGAATCCAAGAGGCTCGCCGTTGGATGCGGCATATCTTCATCCAGTCTTCTCCTGCTTCTTTCTTACAACGTTCTTCTAGTAGATGACAATGATAAATCTCCAACTTCTGTAGCGATGTGAGACGTTGCAACTCGACAGGAATGGACATAATAAAGTAGCAAAAACGGATCCCCAAGGTTTGAAGTGCCGTTAAATTTTCCAGATCACTGGGGAGTGACTCAAAAAGTGAAGACCATATAGTCGATACCTTTATTTTGTTATTTGACGGTAATGATCTTGAAAAACCACCTACGTCACCTTCTAACTCCAACTCTTCAAGCTGTTGTAGAAGACATGGCAATGGCGAAAATGGCGTCCAAGTCAACTGAGGACAGTTCTTGATGTACAGTGTTCTTAGTGCTTCAGCCGAGAAAAACAGAGGGGGCAGCTCTTTTAACTTGGGGGCATTTGTCAAGCCGCAACTAAGTCGGGCATTCCCATCTCCATCTCTCTCTGTATTTCTCTCTCTTGGGGCTCTGTTCATCACTGCTACTAATGTTGGGTGAAGAGACGGGCTTTGCGATGAATGTTGGCTCGTTGTCTCCGGGCATGAGGACGACAACCCTATACTCGGTGTCGGGCGGTGGGCTGGTGGGCTTTGTTGTTTTCTCCTCAGTTTCATCTCCATTCCGTCGGCCAACACCGCCGTTGCTGCATCGGCTGCCTTCCTCCACTGCTCTGTCTGCACCCTCAACTTCTTCTGGTGTTTCTAAATCACAACGGAGATGTACCTACTGATCCACATGTTCCACTTCCCGCTTCAGGTCTGATAGTGTTCCCAGTCCTCTGCCGCATTAAAGTTGTTCAACGATGCTAGACAGGTGGTGGTCAAAACAGATGAAGGTAGCCTAAAGTGGTCAGGTCATCTGGTGTTTCTTCAGAGCGGATTCCTCCTCCATAACTAGACAGGTGGTGGTCAAAACAGATGAAGGTAGCCTAAAGTGGTCAGGTCATCTGGTGTTTCTTCAGAGCGGATTCCTCCTCCATAACTAGAAAAAGAAGCAGGCTTCACCGCTGCTCCTTCACCTTCTTTTTCAAGAGCTCGTTCTCTTCCCGAACCATGTCCAATTGCTTCTCTTTCTCTGTCAACTTCTCTTTAAGCAAGTTGATCTCGTCAATCATCACAGTCGAGTTATCCAATGTTGATTTTCTCATTGGGTTCATAGGTTTCCCCTGGAGGAGGAGAAGAGGTATGGTAGTGAGAATATTCTATCCCCCGAATCCGGTGGCAGTAGATGCAGGCAGATGAGTTTCATGGTTTCGTTCTTATAGAGGAGGAGGAGTTTCACGGTGGCATAGCGGCCACGTTGGGGCGGTGTTCAACGAAGGAGACGATAAACAGTGACGGTGAACAGTAAAAATTAAATAAAATTTAAGGGACATTTGTGTCTTTTTCATGATACTTAACGGTAAATTTACGCCAGATACTAAATTGTCCTAAAATGAAAGTTTGAGTACAAAATTGGCACTTGGCCTAAAGTACAGAATACCTATCAAGAATTTTCCCTTTTATAAATGGCAATGAAAGTAAACAGCCCCTTAACCATCTGAATTTAAGTTCTGTTCCCGGATTAGCTTGGATCACTTTGGGATTAGACCTGTAGCCATGTGCCCATGATAGAGCTACAACATTGTATAGCAGCCTGCCTAATAGCCTATACAACTTATTTTAATTTCTAATGGGTGTGGGGGAGGGGTCAGGGGTAAACTGCACCCTATGATTGACATGTGGGCTGTGCTTATTGTGTTGGGCCTGGTTGGTCCACTAGCAAAAAGCCGAACCTCTTTAATTTGTCTGTCTGAAACAGGTCTAAGAAGTCAGGGCCATTTGATTGATGATGATCCTCCAGTTGTTCACTTGTTTGATTGATAAAGATGATCTTCCATTCCATTCCTCTGCTTCAAAAAGATGGCCCATTCACTGGACGGCCCATTACTATTTCAATGAGCTGGGGGCCTTGCCATGCCAGATTGTGCTGATTGATGAACAAAAAAAGGCTGAGTTGGTCATAATCAGGGGACAAAACCACTTTTGCGTTGAACCAAAAAGCAAAAAAATAACCACTTTTGCATTTATTATTATATAAACCATGTGATATAATTAAGTGGCTAGGCCACGTAATATCAGGATTATCTGGCTTCCTCGCTTTAATGCTGCACCTGCACGGCTCCACCCCACGAGGAGGGCCGTTGCGGCTTGGTAGGCCCCACCTTTCCCATTATCTGGTGCTGCAGTGCTGCGTCTTATATTATTATAATACGGCTTGCCATGGGGTTTTAGTTTTACACTTTTGCCCCAATCCAACCCGACCCGAACCATTTAAGCTCAGTTGCCTTGTCGCTAAAAGGATGAATCGGATTCTGTGTGGCTCTTCTCTGTCTTGTTCTTTTCTTCTCTTTAAAGCAACAACGTAACTTTGCCATCGATGCAAACCCAACCATGATTTGCGAAATGGGGTCCCACCACCTTGTCAGTCAACGATACAACTCCGACGAGCGATCTCAGCCATCCATCCACCGTAGGTTAGATGGGGATTACTCATGCCTTCACATGATTGCTGCTGGGAGGGTAATAAAGCAAGCAAGAGTGCAAGAGGGATTTGCGGCTTGCGGGGACACAGTCACACAGGACAGAGGACACGGCTGAGCTGAGCGATGTTTGTGCAATTGTGCGATTAAATAAGAACACAATCAAACCGGCGAAATGCATCGATATCATTGCTGCCATTTGGCATCGCATCATTACCCGATACCGATACTGTACCGGCCGCTACAATCTCATCTCAACGTAACCCAATTAAACGACCAAGATGAGGACACGTGTAAGATTAAGACATTTGATTGATACAGATACACCGTGGAATTTCAATCCTGAATGGGTCAACTGTGTTAATTACTCTCTTAGCACTAATCTGTACCGACGTACCGTTCGCTTTGCTGGGGTCCACACGGCACTGTTTCAATCTGTTATCTTCTGATGTGGATAATTATAAAACAAATACCAGTTCAATTCAATCACTGAGACCAAAGAAACTGGACTCCAGACTCCAGAGAGAGAGAGAGTAGTATTACTGTTTACGTCTTTTCTTTTTCTCTAATCTCTGTTTTCATGGCTTCTCGTTTCTTTTTGATTATTCTACCAGTGAAACGTTTCTACTGCCAGTGCCAGTGAGGCAGCACGACCCCTTCCCGTTTCCAGCTTTTCGCTTTTTTTCGACCTCGTGACACCTATCACTCTACTATTGCTTTCTCTCTCTCTCTCTGTTTCTCTGTCTCTCGCCTCTTTTCTCTTTCTCCGTTCCAGGCTTCCAGTAAAGCAGCTTCTCTCTCCTTCACATGGCTCGTCGCCGGGATGCCGCTCTGCATCGAACCCAGAACCGCCGTCACGAGCCGCCCCTGCAAGTCATCTAATACAAACAAAATCCTGTGCATCTCTCGCCGGAGACGCCTCCAATGGCATTGTTATCGGATTCTTGTTTCTTTGTCTTTTTCATCTCGTTACTGCTCTTGGGTCGTCGAGTCCATCCCGAGCCGACACAGGACAAGCAAGCGCTCTTAGATTTCATCTCCCTAACCCCTCACGCGAATCGCCCTCAATGGAATTCCTCCGCCTCCGCCTGCTCTTGGGTCGGAGTTGAATGCGACGCCAACCAGTCGCATGTCGTCGTCCTCCGTCTCCCCGGTGTCGGTCTTGTGGGTCCGGTCCCGCCCAACACCCTCGGCCGTCTCTCCCAACTACGCGTTCTTAGTCTCCGGTCCAACCGTCTCTCAGGTGAGATCCCTGCTGATTTCTCTCAGCTGAAGCTTTTGCACAATCTGTATCTCCAGCACAATCTCTTCTCCGGTGAGTTCCCTTCAAGTTTGACTCAGCTGACTCGGCTGACACGTTTGGACCTCTCCTTCAATAACTTCACCGGGAAGATACCGTTTTCTATCAACAATCTTACGCGTTTGACCGGACTGTTCCTCGAGAACAACAACTTCTCCGGCAGTCTCCCCAGCATTAATCCCGCCGGTTTAGTCAACTTCAATGTGTCTAATAACAATCTCAATGGTTCCATCCCCGATACCCTAGCGAAATTCCAGCCGGATTCGTTCTCCGGCAATCCAAACCTATGTGGCGGACCGTTGAGCCCCTGCAACCCATTCTTCGTCTCCCCGGCTCCGTCGCCGACATCAAACGTCTCAGTAGTAGGAAAGCGGTCTAAGAAGCTCTCTACAGGGGCAATTGTCGCGATTGCTGTTGGGGCGGGCATAATTCTCCTTCTTTTGCTTCTGCTTCTTTTACTCTGTTTGCGGAAGCGGCAGCGGAAAGAAAACACCGCGAAGCCTCCAAAGGCGGCACCTCGATCGGTGGTTACAGAAGCGGGCACTTCGTCATCGAAGGACGACGTCGCTGGTGGGCCAGCGGAAGCCGAGAGGAACAAGTTGGTGTTTTTCGAGGGTGGGACTTACAATTTCGACTTGGAGGATCTGTTGAGAGCTTCGGCCGAGGTTTTGGGGAAAGGTAGCTTCGGTACTTCGTACAAGGCGATACTGGAAGAAGGGACGACAGTGGTGGTGAAGAGACTGAAAGATGTAGCAGTGGCGAAGAAGGAATTCGAGATGCAGATGGAGGTATTGGGGAAGATTAAGCACGAAAAAGTGGTTCCTCTCAGGGCTTTCTACTACTCCAAGGATGAGAAGCTACTCGTCTACGATTTCATGCCCTCTGGAAGCTTATCTGCTCTTCTACACGGTATCATTTCAACTCTGATTTTCTCTTCTCTCTCATTCAACAGTAGAAACCTTGAGCTGTTACAGTCATGGAAATTGTTTTTTTTTCCTTAATTTTTCTTTTAAATATTACCAAATATATCAACAAAATCAAAATGCAGCAGACTGGGAATGTGGGTAGTTTAGTATTCCGGAACGGTTCGTTTTTGTCCACCGAGTCACCGACCGACATCCCCTTGGTTCTGTGTTGTATTTTTTTTTAGTTTTCGAAAAATTCCAGAGAATATGAAATGACCGGAAGATTTGGTAAACGGTGATGTTACAGGGAGCAGAGGTTCGGGCCGTACGCCATTGGACTGGGACAACCGGATAAAAATAGCTTTAAGTGCCGGGAGAGGCCTAGCCCACCTACACGTGTCGGAGAAGATCGTGCATGGCAACATCAAGGCGTCCAACATTCTTCTCCGGTCCGACCTGGAAGCATGTCTCGCCGATTTCGGACTGAACCCTTTGTTCGGCTCAGCCGTGCCTCCGAACCGGGTGGCGGGCTACCGTGCGCCGGAAGTGGTAGAAACCAGGAGGGTGACGTTTAAGTCGGACGTGTACAGCTTCGGCGTGCTGTTGCTGGAGCTGCTGACGGGCAAAGCGCCAAATCTGGCGTCGTTGGGAGAGGAAGGGATTGATTTGCCGAGGTGGGTCCAGTCGGTGGTGAGGGAAGAATGGACGGCTGAGGTGTTCGATGTGGAGCTGATGAGATACCATAACATCGAGGAAGAGATGGTGCAGCTTCTCCAGATAGCTATGGCGTGTGTGTCGATAGTACCGGCTGAGAGGCCTCCCATCGAGCAAGTGGTGCGGATGATAGAGGATATGAATCGGACGGAGACTGATGATGGCCTGCGACAGTCGTCTGATGACCCCTCGAAAGGATCAGACGGTCACACGCCTCCCCGGGAGTCACGGACGACGCCTCCAGCCACACCTTAGAAGTTGAAAAAAAAACATGGTAAAAAAATGAAATTGGGTTTTAATTGTTTCTAATTTGTGGGTAAGTTGAGATTATTTTTTTTTACTTTTTATTTATTTGTTTTTTTTTTCAATTTGTGATTTTTATAGAGTTTGAATTGTTTGGGGGGAGTGGGGCGTTCCATTTGATGGGTTCAGTTTGTTTTATATTAAAGATTTTTTTTTTGTTGAGTCTTTGGTCTTTAATTCCTTTTAACAGTCGAGTGCATGCCACGTGGCGAAGTTGGTAACTACGAAGTTGATAAGCTGGCAAATTTATATGTTATAATTTGAGAGAAGGAGATTTTTGAGGATCCAAGTTGGACAGTCTGGGCTGTCAGCAGGGGAACGGGATCTGCTCCTCACGCATGACACGTTAGTTTACATTTTACACAGTTTTTGTGGGAGTGGCGTGTGAGGAGGGAGTTAATGGGAGACAGCTTGGCTCTCTCAGCTTTCGCTTTGAATTCTTTCTTTCTTTTTTTCCTTTGCTGACACCCAAAATGTTACAGGCTCTGCTCTTGAGTTTTGACTGACAGATTGACAGATTTGTCAGCCACGCCAAGCCAAGCCAAGCCAAGTCAAGTCGCCAAACAGCCTCTAGTGTGGGACCCACCCACCAGTTCCTGCCGGGCCCACCACCCACCTTTTCTTGAGTTTTGAGCACGAGACGATTAGACGAACTGCTATTCACTCTTCAGTGTTCAGTGTTCAGTCTTCATTTCATGATTAAACCGAGGAGCGTGATCTTATTGTGTCTGTTGTTTGTTCGGGCATAAAGCCCCACAAAACGCGTCACTGCGAGGCCTGGGCCCATTTAACTTGCCTTGTTTCATGCGATTAGGACCCTGGGCTGACGTAAATTGCTATGTTTCATGCGATTAGGACCCAGTCCAAGGTCGTCTTATTTTGGAGGGTAGTGACTCAGTTAAGGTTAAGGGCCTCAACTTCTTTTTTTCAATTACTCTTCACCAAAATATATATATATTTTTTCAAGTACAACAACCAAGTACATTGAACAACATCCAAGCCCCTTTAACCCACGTTAGTGTGAATGGTAAAATTATCAAATTGTCCATGGTCCGTAAGGTCAGTCTAGTAGAACTGAAAAAGCCCGTTGTGGGTAGATTTGGAATTTTGAAATGTTTCAGGATACATACATGATATCATGCGAATCGGGTAAGAGAGGGAATATACTTACGGTTGGACTTAAGTGTTGATTTTTGTTTGAAAGTTTTGCAGGCCCTTAAGTGTCATTACACTAAAATACAAGATGCCTTACCTATAATTTTCCCAAAACAAAATTGTATCATCATTCAATTAAGGTCTCCAATTTGGAGGCAAGGATTGAGACTGCAAGATGATGACTTTGCCAAATGTCAGTGTTCCGCACACTGAATTTTAAAAGGGCCGCAAATGGAAATTCAATAATCTGAATCCGAATCCAAATTCGATCACATTAGGGAGAAAGAATGTGTTGAGGAAAAAGTTTTAACAAATATTGTAAAATTTCTGAATAACTTTTTTATTTAAAAAAAAAAAAAAAGAACTTCTGTTTCTCTTATTTTCTGTCAAACCAAATACAGCCTTATGTTGATTATTCATGATATATTATATCAAACACATTTCATTTCTAGTTCATTCTGTCAACAGGTTGGATCAGGATTCAAGCCAATTTGGGTCAAAGACCAATAACCAACCCAATTATTAATCAGGACTATTGGGTGTGCCCAATAACACCCCACTTTACAACTCTACTCCCAACTTCTAATTTCAAAACAAACATGCTCATTTATTGAATTGGCACAACCAAAATCGATCCCAACCCAATTAGAATCAGGAGAAATTATGTAGAACTAGACCCCATATGATAGGATTGGTTCAGTCTGACCCATTGCTGCCCTTACTTCTAGTATGTTAACAAATTAAACTTCAATCCCTAGATTTTGGTCAAACAAGATGTGGTTAGAATCAAATTTCAGTGAAATGGTTAGGGCTGCAAATGGCATCTGATTGTCCAAATTCCATTAAGGGTGATTTGAATTCAATCTGTCCATAATTGGATCGAATATGGATCCACCCTATGTGATCTATATGCTCATATATACTTAAAACTTGTATATTATCTATTAGTATAGTTGGTTAGAATGATGTGCTTTTACTAAATTATCATAGGTTCAACTTTTAAGCAAATAATTTTCAATTCATTTTGTTCATGAAGAAGAAGTCAAAGTCATTTCTAGTTCATTTTAACAAAATATATAACATTTTGATAATTCTTTGTTTAATTTATTATATTATTTTTATCCAATTGCAATTCAAATATAAATGAACCAAATTTAGATCTACCTATATCCAATTTAATTCAATCTGTGTGCAGCCTAAAAATGGTGTATGTTGATGCTTTTAGGATTTTCCTATGGAAACCTTGTTGAGTGGCATGTGCAAAATGCACAAGCAAGAGGACAGATAGAGGAAGAGATGAAGAGAGTGCCAAGAGAGGAAAATAAATAGAGAGACAAAATTAAACGGATTAGGTTTTTCGTATGATGACATGGACATGAAGCCAAGGCAAGTATCGGCATTATATAGTAAAGATGATTCGAAATTCCTCCTCATTGCTTGTGGGAACCTTCAATGAAGGATTGGGTCAGATGTGAGGAGCAGGTGCCGAGTAAGCTCAAGTTAAGAGTGTTTTTTGTTCTTTCTTCTTTTGGCTCCTACGTTTGGATGTTTTCTCTTCTCATGTTATGTTTGTTTCTACTTTGTTTTCTCAAAAATTATCAAAAAAGAAGATGGCTAGAATTAATTTCTGATCTTTGAAAAGCAAATTAATTCTAAAAATGTTTATTATATTTATAATTATACCCTTTATTAAAATACTAGTGTAAGAGCATATATTATGTAAATGCATTAACATTAACTATATATGATATATGGTGTTTGAATTTAACTTTCATGATTTGCACAAATGCCAAGGTAAGTATCCGTCTTTATATAGTATTAGATTATATATATGTATATATATATATATATATATATATTCATAATACATTATATATTTGTATAATATAATAATACAAACATAAGTGTCTATGTGTGTGTTATGTGAAACTCTATGGTCAATCACTATGTTGTCAAAGGGCAATATTATTCAAATAACCTCTTGGAGCTGTTTGATACATGGCTAATTTACTTTTAAGAGCCTGTTTGAGAGGGATGAGCTGAAGAGTTGGCTAAGCTGCTTTGCTTTTACACCAAACAAAGCTTATAGACCCATGAAGCAAGCAAAAAAAAATAAAAAAAAGAGCAAGAATCCAGAAGCTTTCAACCTTTCAACCTCTCAAACAGACAATAAAACACAAATTGCAGCCATTCAATTAGAATCTAAGTACTTTTTGTGCATGGATGTTCATGTACAAGCAATTCTGACCATATGCTTAGAAAAGAGAAATATAACCAATTTCAAGAAAATCTTTATTGGGTTTCCATTCATATTACGAAAGAAAAAGTAAAATAAAATAAAATATAAGTTTATTGGGTTTCTAGTTCAAACACAGAAAATAAGTTGGTATAATACTCTCATATGGGTTTTGTAATTCAGACCCACATGTTTTCTTTTCAAAAAGTGCTCTCACTTTTTTTGGACCATGGCCCATCCAAAACACACCCATCAGCAGAGACCACCACCAAAAATTTAAACATCTGCAAAAGAACATTTTCAGAATGTTTAACCAAACAACTATCTGATCTCTGAAGAACAAAATCTGCAGAGGTCAGAGGTCTAGTCTGTGTTTGTTTATTATCCAAATAGAAATAAAACTTTTCCAACTGAAATATTTCAGTTATTATTTATATCAATTTTGCAGTGAAAACTTTGTTTTTCACCCCTAATTTGTTTTGGTGTATTCACTCTAACAGAACAAGTTTACACTCATTTTACATTGAAGCAAATTGAGAAGAAAAAAAAAAGAAAAAAGAAAAAACAATTTGGTGGAAAGTGGAAACCCCCCTCCTCATATGGGGGGCATAACAAGATGAGATGGCTGTATGATTGCAAGAGGTGATTAGCTGGAGGCAATTTTTGCATTCTCCTAAAGTGGGATTTGAGAATTATAGAATCAAAGGGCCCCAACTTAGGGGGAGTGGGAGGGATTCACATTATAATTTTCTCCTTTGCCTTTTGCCCTAATAGATTCCCTTCATTGAATCCTCACTCAAAGCCAAATGGATTTCACCCAAATTCAATTATAAAGTTGGATTGATTAGACTAGCATTATTTATGGGGCTGTAATTAAAATGGAAAGGAATCAAATTGGGTTGGGTCATAGTTCAACCCGATTATAAATAGATACATTTGAAGGATCACCCCATCACATTTTTCTTAATCGGACCATATCCAATCCGGGTCATGATCCGACCCTGGTGACAACCCAATTTCAATTTGTTCTGTGATTACTGTAAGAAGCAATTGATGATGCCGATATCCCAGTAAAACCGTCCCCACTACAATTATTTCCACAAAGAGGGAACAATCCTCTGTGTTCTCTTCTCCATTTATAGTTATTGCTTATTTTGATTTGACGTAAAACCGTTTTCTATCACTATATTCCTCGTCTCTACTCTCTACTTGCCCCTTCTTACATCCTACATGCTACGAAATTCTCTATAGTTCTACTCGTTACTCTGGGCCAATCATGTTATGCCACATCATCTCACAGGTCAAGCTGATGTGCTGTGTCAAGATTGGCCCAGTATCCTCCAGTTCCAGCAGAGGATTAGACTGCTGTCTATATTCATGCATCTAAAATCCTGAAATTACTCCCTACTAAAGAATCCTTTTTGCCGAAATCTCTTTTAGCCCCTGTTTGGGAATGTTTATTGGATAATTAATTGCTTATAAGTGTTTGGTGAAAAGTGCTTCTTTCAGATGAGGTGTTATAGGTACTTTGAAAATTACATGATGGGCCAAGATGGGTCCAAAACAAAATAATAACTTTAAAAGAAAAAAGTCCGTATTTTGAACTTATTCAAAACATGTTTATTTCCGGAGGAAAAGTGTTTATTTCCCAAATGCATATAAGTGCTTATTGGTATAATTCTGGCCTAAAACAGTAAAACAGTGATTTTTCCAATGAATGCTTAAAAATAAGCACTCCTAAATGGGGTTTGACTCGGTGTTCCCATGCCACTACATGAACGTGGCCAGCAATCCAAACTCTGCAATCCACACCTTTATTAATTCGGGATCTCTATTTCCCCTCTTTTGGGTTGAAAAGGACATGACAGCGTGTTTTAGGGGTAGCATGGATGCAGAAACTGAGAGCAATGAGAAAAAGCAAAGGTGGTAGGTAAGGCTTTTGAAGCTGAACCTTCATCGGTCTCTGAGAACTTTGGGAAATTTATGGATGAAAAACCCATCTTCATGTTCATTAAATTGACATTGTTTTCTAAGCCACTGATTCAATGAGCTTTTTCTGAACCAGTTGATTGATGGGCCCACTCTAATATCCCTGCATTGACAAACGTATTGAATAAGAAGCGGAAAGAAATTTCAAATTTAAAGTGATTGATTTGGACATTGTGATGAGAAAGCTAAGGATATCAAATTGCCCCTGTTTGGGCAGTTAACATGAAATATTTTCTGGAGCACCAATCACAGGTTTTTGAATGATCAAATGGAACCCTTTTGTTCTCTCGTTTTAAGCCAAAGTGATAATTCCCTTTCAAGGTTTTCTTAGGTGGGACCCATCCAATGATGTGTCGTGATGTTCTGAATATTTGCCACCTGGTAAGTTATGAGATCCGAGGCTGTGACTATCGGTCCTGTTTCTCTGAGCTGAGCCCGTCCCTTTCTGTTTTGTTTCTTCTAATCATTTCTATATGCTATTAAGGAGTTGTTGGTGAGCTTAGGTATATAGATGCCCACTGCATTATAGGGAATGAAAGCTTCTACTTGAGAACGTCCAATTTGATATGAGAAAGAAGAGTAAATTTCAATCTAGCACGCAAGGAATTACTCCTTTCTCAAACCAAGACAAAACAGGAAAGAAAGAAATGAGGCAAATAGAGGAGTTCTGGTGAGTGAGTACAGAGACAGATAACCTTTGAGTAGAGCTCAAGAAAAGTAGTTCTGGCCCTTTCCTTCAATGTTCAGACTGCAAGCAAGGCTTCTGAGGTTTCAAATCTAATGGTAATCAACCACGCAAGCCCTATGGGTTATACAGTTACATCCATGAATTAGAATTTCGTTATGCCTCATACCTCTTGTTTTTTCTTTCTTTTTTTTCTTTTTAATTTTATAGGTATCATACACTAATGCAGATATAAGTGTATCGTACCAATATTTTAATCCTTAGTTATATGGGTTAAAATATAAAAGTAGGACTTAATAAGAAACATTGAAATTACTCAAAGATTTAGGATCTGATATTTGATAATATTTTCATAAAGCTCGTGTTTGTAGATGTCCATTTGATTTGTTTTGGTTGGAGGCAAGATGCCCATTTGTGGAATATAACTTATTCGAAGAGAAGACAATGATAAATAAAGAATTCATTGCGGTGGTGGATGAAAAGGATAGTGAAAGAGAAGACAATGGCGAGAATCCACAACCAAAAGTTATAGCCAAAGACATGTCTACTGTAGTCCAAATAGTCAGACAAAGAGAAGAAAGGATTAGTAGTTACAATTCCTGGTACTCTTACCCTTCTCAGAAATTTATGAAGTGCAATAATGCACGAGATAGCTCAACAGAATCAAATATCACTACTTCAAAAGGTTAAAAACTTTCAATTTCATAGATTAAGTTGAGATAAAGCCCTGAAAGTTTATTCATTGGTAAGCCAAGTTGAAATGTATTTGTTTGGTGGTTAGATTGAAATGAGGATAGTTTCAATAAGAACAATCATGCTCACACTTCAGATCATCATATCCACCTTCCGATGGAAGCAATAAGATGATTCAACAATTTCACTACAACAAATTTGATTTTTTCTCAAAAATACTGCTGACGTAGGTTACGGCGTTATGCTATGATCAGTAGTTTTTACTGCCGTTAGGGAAAGCTATACCTATGGCCAAGTTACCCACCAGTGCCACCACTATAAGTAGATTCATGAGCACCAGATCGAATTTATGAAATATCATCATCCATGATCATGAGAGTTTGGCACAAGTTTTACCACTGACTGTCAATCTTACACAACCCTTTTCTTTTATCTAGGCTTGAGAGCAGCTGTGTAAGACAAGCTCGGCATGGACGGAATTGATTTATGAAATGGATTTTAGGCCTTGTTCTCTTTTCGGTAAGTTACTTACCCGGATAAGTGCATTTATCCACTTTTTTGGTGAGGTATACTTACCCATAATCAATTTCCCATTTTCCCTCCACATGATTATGATAAGTTTTGGTTGATCTGATGCCCGACATATGAATTTTGGCCATCTGCTTCAGCTTCTTTAAATAGCTTATCCCGAGTGCTTCAAAGCAGTTGAACCAGCTTAGCTAGATCTTCAGCTTAGCCCTCCCAAACGGGTCCTAAATCAACTTATTCAATCTATAGGCCCAGCTAAATAACATGACCTGACATTAGTATAACAAATTACATAGGGGTTTAAATTTGGGTACAGATAAATATTTATGAATTTTTCCTTTTCCTAATCTCAGAGCTTCAAATTGCACTTTATATCACAATGTGCAACCAAGTGTAGCACAAGGACAACGTTATGAAGTACAAATTACAACTTAAAGAGCAATTTTTTTTTTTTTGCAACTATTACGCCATCAGCAACTTTTTCATAGCACAAGGTGAAAGATTTGATGCAGAGTATTCATCCTTCAAAGGTCTCAAGCGCTTTATTTTAACCCAAGCCCAACTCAGATTCACTTCTTCCAATATGAACCACATTTATATCCATTTTTAAGTAGCCAAAGAGGTATAGAATCATTTATATGTGTTTTTAATTTTATTTTTTTCTTCTTTCATTTAATTTTCTATTGCTCTGACATTGATAATACAATATTATTGCTGAATTCTTCTCCAATTGAGATCCCCTCATAAAAGAACTGCATCAGTACAAATAACGGGACACAAAATGAAAGATAATGGGTAAGAATAGTTACTGAGTATGATCTGCAAACTAAACTAAATTTGATCTGCAATTTCTTATGTGGTTTCTCCTTTGGAGTCTAAATACAATAGGGAAGCACCCAATCAGTCAGCACCAATCTTTTTATCTTTTCTCAAATTTAAAGGCTTTTATAGAAAATGCAAAAACAAACACAAAAACCACATTAAACCCAATCATCATAATAGAAACAACCCACAAGTAGTCATGTCTGAACCCAAAATAATCCTTCACAAATTCAGCCACAGTCCCACCGGAGTCGAGCACAGACTGTACATCTCCATACTGTGAAGCAACTAGTCCATACAAAGTCCATGCAACTGGGCACACCCAAGCATACCATCTCAACCACATTGGAAGCCTCTGCAATCATTTAACTTTTTTAAGTCTATGCCCTCTTTTGAGGAAGTTAAAAGTTATATTGAGCTAGAAATTAAAAGAAAAATTACCGTCAAGGGTACTAGAAAGCCTGAAAAGAGACTCCACACTGAATAAAATGATGTGGATAGTACAGCGGCAATGTTTTGATTTGGGGTCATGGCTACTGCCATCATTCCATAAAATGTGAAGTAAAGAAATGTGAAGAACATGAAGAACATATATTGGACAAACTTTGTCAATGTCCATTCAAATCCAATCATGGAATACACTATAAGCCCATATATTAGAGTCTGAATGAAGACGTATGGCATCTCAACAGCAACCTGAAAATGTAACGAAGTAAAGTGAGGAGAATTTAATAAGAAAACTGACAAGCACTAATAAAATTTAGCAACGAAGTTTCAGTACTGGAATGCAAGGCAGCTACCACCTCTAAAAGATCAATCAGTTTGATTACTGTTGTGCTAAGTCCAATATAATTCAGAAGGTGGCTATGAATAATTGGATTAACTCCAATCTTATTGTCAAAAACCATACCAATTAGAAAGAGTTGACATGGTGTACAATACTATATAATATGACTACCTGTGCAAACGCATAAGGCAAAGCTGAGTACATTCCCGTAGCCCTTTCTCTGTAGAATACTGCTCTCTCAACTGCTACTACAGGCTGCACAGATGAAGCATTTTGTGTCCCTATGAAGAGAATCCCGATATACATGGAAGCTATTGCATTAAAGAGATCCTTGTGCCTACTCCTGAAAATTCAGCATCTTATTTATTTTCATGCTTGCTTAAATTTAGAAACAATAAAATCAAAAACTAATTATAGACCACATTAGGTAGACACTGTCATGAACTTGCACCTTTTTGAGCCAAGATCCCAGAAGGTTATCCCAGACATGAGGGCTATTACAGTTGTGAAGAGAAATCGTGTAGCAGTATATGATGGATTGCGCCAGTATGACAAGTGTTGTCTCCATAGGCAAGCCATGCATTGTTTGAGGAAGGACTGTGCATAATGTGTATGGAAGTGATAATCTTGTAAACTAGAAGGATTTGAATTCAGCTCCCTGATCAAAGTTTTGTTTCTCCTGTAATGAATCCATTAAATGTAAATCAGTAGAAATAGAGAATGATTTGTGAGTTATATGAACATGCAATAATAAGTTAACCAACCGATATAGATCTGAGTTCTTATATATATTGGCAAAGTTAATGCCTAGGACCTCTTCTTGTGCTCCGGTAGTCACCTCCAACATCCATGTTGCAGGATTATAGTCATCTTTTATTGAACTTACGCCATTGATTCCCTTCATAAAATTAGAATCAATTCTGATAGTAAGTAACATTTAGGAGAAGAAGGACCCAAGAAGATCATAAGTCATTTGTACTCACCTCAAAGTACTTGATCATATCAAAAGAATGACGCCCCAATGGGCCAACATATATTTCTTCTCCTTGGTTCAATAGAAAGAGCTGTAAAATAACATGAGAATACCAAAATGTCATGCAGAGAAAAGAATTGATAGAATTTGTTAGTTGTTTCATTTCAATTTCCATCTTACCTCATCAAAAGATTCAAATATATCAATGCTTGGCTGGTGAATTGTGCACACTACTGTTCTTCCAGTTTCTGCAGTGTTCTTTACAGTTCTCATAACAATTGCTGCTGCCCTGGCATCAAGCCCAGAAGTTGGCTCATCCATAAATATAATTGAAGGGTTTGCTACAAGCTCAACTGCTATGGTTAACCTCTTCCGCTGATCAATCATGAGTCCATTTAGATTAGGTAACCCAACCAATGCTTCACGCAGTGGTGTCAGCTCCACGAGTTCCATGACAGCCTCAATGAACAACTGCAATTGTTTATTTTAATTGGTTGTTTATGCCTAGAAAGATTTATATCCTATAACAAGATCATAGGTGAGACCACTAACCTTTCTCATTTGAGAATCAACTTCAGAAGGTAACCGAAGCCATGCTGAGTAGAGAAGTGATTCATAGACTGTGACATAAGGAGAGTGAATGTCATTCTGTTCACAGTAACCAGATACTCGGGCAAATGTTTCCTGCTTCTTTGGGTAGCCTGATATGGTAATTTTTCCTTCTATATATCCAGTAGTTTTCCTTCCAGCCAATACATCCATCAGAGTGGTCTTACCAGCACCGCTGACACCCATTACTGCTGTAAGGATTCCTGGCCTGAAAGCTCCACTTACACCATTTAGAATAACTAGGTGATTCCTTAATACACCCCGACCTTTCATTTCCTGTAAAGTTTGAGTTTCCTAAGAGTTTACTTACATTATTGAAATAAATTTGCTGATCTGAGCTCTGTATAACCATCTAGTTGAGGATAGAAATTACCTGTGGCATGTCTATGGAATATGTTATATTTTCAAAGGTGATGGAAAGAGATGGAAATGGGAGAAGCATTCCCTTATTCCGCTGATTATCAACAGGTACAACTTCTGTCCTCCCATGCTTGCATGTCAATGACCCCATTTCTGTCTCTATGCATAATCCCTTTAGATCACAATTATATGTAACAAGAAGAAAATAGAAAGGTCAAGAAGCTTACTGTTTGATTCCCCATGACTATTGATTCTTACTTCTTTCTCTAGTTGTTCATCCTCAGTCTCACCAGTTCTGTTAGCATGCTTCTCCTTCAAAGCTTCTTCAGATAAGACTGCTTGAGCTTTCTTAGGTTCTGCAAGAATTCAATCCAACAACAATAGAAATTCAGTTTACACAAAAGGAGTACAGTATTAGAACTATAGATATGAAAATACTTACGATTAAGATAAGAAAGAGACACAGTATAAAGCCCAGTGAAGAAGCATATGTAGCCAATCAATGCACCCACACCGATCCAATACCAATTTGGATTAGTAAACAACCCATTATTCCTCAATACTGAGACACCTAACGCCTCCACTGATCCAGAAAGAACCTACATACAAGTTCAAATTCAATTTTGAGAGATGATTGTAGTGCCAAGGTAATGAAACTACTTGTCAAGTTGTGCAGGACTAGGATGAATTATCCTGCTTGTATTCACTATATATTGCAATTTTCCAATTCAAGTTGTAGATGACTAGGATGAATTGTTGCTAGTAATGTTCATTACTCTCCCAATTCAATCCACCAACATAATGAGTCATCAGTCATAGGTAATAATAGAAGTTGACTGGTATCCAATTAAAAATATTAATTTGGACTAGTAAATTTGAGTGATTTAAATCTTAATATTAAACACATTACAATTGGTCACACAGTCTTACATGTTTCCATCTCTCCCCAAGGAACTCATTTGTTGCAATTGCATTCTGTGCATACATTATAGGAGAGGCCCAATAAGCCCAATTCCAACATTTATTTAGTGCCTCTGCAATCCAGAAAAAAAAAAGTGATTGTTAGAATCATTAAAAAGTTGGGTTTCAATAGTGTGAATTTGAAGTAAGGATTTTAGTTTGGGATCTACAAGGCACTTTAACATCTATAGTGGTTCATACGTCGTGACAAGGGAAATCCACCAAGCACAATAAGCAAAAGCACCAGGAAACCACCAGATGTGTTTGCGATAATCATATTTCTGCTCAATGCAGCAATGGACTGGAAAAGCCCACAAGACATGTAGCTAGTCATCAAGAGTAGAAGATATTGTTTGAACACCCTGCAGCATGTCGACTTATAAATTATTATAAATATGACAAGAAAAAGGAAGCTGAGAAGGTTAATGGACTAAAGATCAACCTCCCTGAATTTGGGTCAAATCCCATTGCATGGTACGTAATTGCAACCCATAAAGCAGCTTCCAAAGCTGAAATTGGAATCTTGAGGAGATATGTAGGTAGTGAGTATGCCCATGAGGGATAGAAAAGCAGGTCTCTGTGCTTGTAGAAGATGGGAAGCTTAATTATGGTCATTGGAAGCTCAAAGAATCCATTGAACAAAATTGTAGTGAGTCCAAAATGGAGAGCACCTAGGTGAATCCATCCATTTTCTACTTGATGGTTCATCTTTCCATGAGGGAAGACACACATTGTGATTACAGCAACCATTACAATCTGAAATAAGAAACAGTAATTATGAAATTAGTTGTAAATATGGTCAATTCAACTCAACAGAGCCTTACCCCAACTATTTGGGGTCAGAATCCAAAAGAAAAGAAGAGAAAATCCAATATCACTCACCTGAACAACTTTAAAAGTATACACAAATGAGTTCCTCTTCATCAGTAGAAGTTCTCTTGAAACGCAAGCCTTGAGAAGTTCCTTCTTTTCAATTCCATATTTGGAGTTTGATAGAGCTGAAGGATGGCTCTTCAACCTGTCAAATGGGGTGGAGAGTTCACGCCCTAGTTTGCGTCCAACATGAAATGTCTGAAACGCCTCGGAAAATTCCTTGATGGAAATGTAACTATATGGCTTTTCTTTGTTCACCCAGTACTGCTCCTGATCCTTTCTTGATGTGACCTGTTAAATTTTGAACATTTCAGACCTCAAGGCTTGAAACGAAGTCTGGTTTTCTGTAACTTGGAAGAAGAAATTAGATGTACGTGGGATGATTTACTTCTTGTAAGTAATCTGCAACGCTTTTCCTCTGGGGACATTTGAAACCCATAGACTCAAAAAATTCAAGCACAGATTCACGAGGGCCATGGTACACAATCTGTCCCTCTGATATAAGAAGAACATCGTCGAAGAGATTATAAGTCTCTGGGGAGGGCTGGAGGAGAGAGATGACAGCAGTCCTGTTGAGAACATGAACAAATTGCCTGATTGAGTTTACAATCTGAAAAGTTGTGCAACTGTCCAGACCAGTGGATATGTTGTCCATGAAGAAGACTTTTGAAGGTCCCACAAGCAATTCACCTTCATCGATTGAAACACATCTGTGTGAGTGACTGGAATATCAATGAACTAACAGAAACTACACAGATTCTCATTCTTTGTCATCTTTTAGTTATGTTCATGGTTACATGGATGGACATGAATGTGAACATGTCTGGTCTGCCAATCTTAAGTTCTTAAGTAGAAAGCAGAGACTCATGGACGCTAAGGCTATGTTTGGTTTGAAGGAAAATGTAGGAAAAGAAAGAAAAAGATAGGGAAACATATACAAATAGGTAGGGAAATCTATACAAGGTTTGTATAGATTTTCCTAACTTTCCCTTCCTTTCCCTATTTTTTTATTACAACCAAATACAACCTAAAGGTAAAGGTACAATTTAGGCAAGCCCAACGTTTAGCTAGATAGGCCTAACCCACGTTTTTGCTCGGGCTGGGCTTTGATTTTCCGGTCCTCGGATTGGGATTGGGCCCAAAAACTGTCCTTTCATTTTTTTTTTTTACTTAGGCCCAGGTATAGCCTTTAGGTAACCCAAGCCCGCCTTTAGTTTTATGGATTTGCTAAAACCTATCTTATAATTTGCATTTTATTAAAATATCCCCCATTCTTGCATTAGAATAAATTAATCAAAAGAAAATGACAGTTTGATTTTAATGTCCATTCGAATAAATTAATCAAAAGAAAATGACAGTTTGATTTTAATGTCCATTCGAATAAATTAATCAAAACAAAATAATAATAATAATAAAATCATATTTACCCTTAATAAAACATGAGCAACCACTTTATTTGACCTTATTTGATTAAATTTGTTTTCTGTACGAAGAAGTGATAGGGGTGTTGTTGGAATAAACAATCATAGGCCCATGCCCTTGAACAAATTTCATTCAGCTTAGGTGTTCATGTTACTATTTTGAGATGATAGTTCACGGAACTTTTTAGTACATTGGACCTAACTGGCCCATTTAAGCCCAATTGATCGACCCGAGCCCGGACCAGGCCCAAGCCCAACTCCATTATGCCACATTTATTTCAGTTCAAACTGAACCTAGGTTGGAAAGATTGGACTTAGCCCCAATATTTAGGGTTGGGCCAAGGGTAATTACATTTTCCTACCTGTGGTAACACGCTTCCTCTGCCCTCCAGAAATGCCTCTTGTCATTTCGTTTCCTACCATGATATCAGCACAAACATCCAGACCTAAAATCTGAACATTGTGACAGAGAGAGATGGTTATTAACTGCAATCTTTCTAACTTCACTGTTTAAGTACTGTTACAAAAGTTTGCAGATGTACCTTGAGAATGTAATCTGTAATTAAACTTCCTTTCTCCCTTTCCAACAAAGCTGCCTGCATCTGAATCATTAGATTGTGCTCTTTCTGACATAAAATGGTATCAACATGACTGATTGAGAGGAGAGCTAGCTGGTTCTAAGTTCTAACTATAACTATGGAAGATAAGGTTCTTACTTTCAATAATACATCAATATCAGGATCTGGCTTAATATTAGCCTCCTTCTCTCGTTTCAAAAGCTCCATGAAAACGTCTAGATATGAAGTAGGCCCAAAATAGAAGCAAAAACGAGGATTAATTCAAACCTTCAACTGAATTAATTCTCTCTATTTCTCACAATAGATCATGTTTTGCTTACCATAAACAGAACTGACACCCTGACATTTTGCTGAAAAGGCGAGGGTTTCTCTTACAGTCATTTCGCCAATGTGGAGATCATACTGACTGATATAAGCAGAGGTTCTCTGAGGGACAAACTCATGCATTTCATGGCCGTTGTATGTTACTGACCCAGAAACCTGATGCCATAAAGATAGAGTACGAACACATATTGGTTTTTGAAAATGAAAGGAAATAGTTCTAAAAACCTAAACTTCACAAAAAACGACAAGCTGAAGGATGGTGAAGGTGGTGAAACAATTGCAATTTCCTTGCCTTTAGATCTGTATCAAGCTTTCCTGCCAAAGCTAACAGTATTGTGGTCTTTCCAGAACCTGGGGGCCCTAAAAGCAGAGTCATTCTACAAAATACTGAGTTAGTTTAAGTTAAACTTATATATGAAAACTAATGAATCCCAAACCCATATGAAAACTTATATATGAAAACTAAAAGCTATCCTTCTTCCTCTTACCTGCCAGGCTTGATAATTCCATTGGCATCGTGAAGGATAGAGAGTGGTCTCTTTCTACTGGGAAGAACATGGAGAGAGTTCAGTAAACCCTGTCAAATTCAAAAAAATTACTTAGAATGTCAATATAATTCATTTTATAGAGAGAGAGAGAGAGAGAATTTGGTTTATCTCTCTGTTAATTTGGAGAAATGGTACCTCTAGCACATTAAAGAAGAAGTTGGGGAGTGTGGGTAAAGCTCTTTTACCCACATAGACTTCTGCCTCGACATTCAGATGTTCAAATCGTACTTCAACTGTTGGTATATCAAGTCCAACTCTGTTTGTGCAATAAACACAAACACCCAAGTTCAACTTCAATAGTTCATCATCAGTTCATATATTAAATGTAAGCATATAAAGTGAAACTTAAAAAGAAAGCAAGACAAACCTCTCAAGTCGGTTCTTCAACTTAAGCAATAACCTCTCATTATCCTTCGCAGCAACCTTAATCAATTTGTCCAAGAAATCCTTCTTCTGTTGAGACTCAAGACTGCGAAGTTGGGTTTCCTTGTAATCCTCTGCAAGTACAACCCCACTCAGTATTCCTTCACCGACTGGATTATTAGTTGGGAGTCTCTCAGAAGAAGACCATCTGAGATCTTGGCCATCTCCTCCAACTGCAGTGCAACTACGTAAGCTTATTGCGGCTCTACGATTATCTCCAGGTTCCATTGAAATAGCTTAAAATTAAACAATGAAAACAGAACTCAACAGAGACTAGAATTGATCTTCTGGTTTCAGTTCAGGCCGGAGAAGACCAGAATATATGTGAAAAGAATTCGAGATAGCAGTAGAAGCAGCTGGCTCCAGATATATAAAGGAAGTGTGGGAAGGAGAGTCCGAATCTTCGAACACTCACATGCACAAGCATGAAGATATCAACTTTCGTTGACGTTTGAGACTTTGTCGTTTCGAGTGGTGATGACAGTAGCTGAGGGCTGAGGCTGAGGCTGCAAGTGCAACCCGATTGGGCAGGCTTACAATGCGTAGAAGGCTATAAGCCATGAGCCCACGTCTCCATCTCTCTGTGTCGTTTTCGGCAGATCATTGAAATCAGCAACAGACCTGAAAAGAGATCATCAGCTCGATACAAGTAATGTAACGACGACTGTTGCTCCAAGAAAATTATACTGCGACGGTGATCGCAGCAGATACGAGCTCATACGGTTGGAGGCGGGATTCTCAAGCTCTGTAGTCTGAAGATAATGCTCAGATGGTCAAAGCTTCATCTCACGATTCTCACTGTGCTAATCAACTTTTGCGCTTGCGGTGCTCCTCTTTGGTGGGCTCCTTCGTATGGGACGTGGGCTCATCCATGGGCCATCATGACAGGCACCCATTAATTTACGGAAAAATGCGGACAGACCAACCGTAAATTCTGATTTACACTGCAGACCTACAACAAATTTCGAGCTGGCACTTACCCCCAACTGGGCCTGACGCAATTTAAGGGCGGGTAGTTAGTTGTTGGGCCTGATAATTAGAGATGGCAATGTCGGGGGATCCGTCTTCACCTTAAAATCCTATAGGGTTTGGAACAGATTTTAATTTTGACTTTAGGGTATTCGATACTCGATACCTGATATCTGATTTTATTTATAAGGGGCACTCGTTCCCGATACCTGATTAATTGATTATAAAACCCAATTATATATAATTATAAGAAATAAAATATGTTTTAAGGTATAATATAATGTAATATAATATATAGTATAAAATAATTTATTATAAATAAATATATTAAGAGAAATTAATTAAGTAGAAGCCAGGACAAAGGAGTCCTATGGGCTATGACATTCCTAATTGGTTAATTTGCAAGTTTGGGGCATTTGGTTAGGTTCAAGTTCAATCCAAGCAATACTTTTAGGTGAGTTACTTGTTTATGAAATTTAAATTTTTATTAGTTAGTTTCAAAATTTTATTTTCATAACTATTATTACATTTAAATGGATTTTAAATTAATATAATTAGGATTTATCATTTAAGATTACAAAATACAAATGGAATCTATTTATGTAAAGTCAAATTAAGAATCAATTGGTTTGGGCAAGTTTAAGTCCAATCCAAGCAATATTTCGTGGTGAAATATTTGTCTATGAATTTTAAATTTTTATCAATTAATTTTAGAAATTTATCGATGTAATTATTTTTAAATTCAAATGGACTTTAAATTAATGTTATTGGGATTTGGGATTGCAGATGCTATCTATTTGTCTGAATTTAGATCTAGACTTAAATGGTTTAAGTAAATTCAAGTCCAATCTAAGCATTACTTTTAGGTGACATACTTGTCAATGATTTTTAAATATTTATGTTATTTTTAAAATTCTATTATTGTAACTGAGATTGCAAATGGTATCTATTTGTCAAAATTCAAATCCAAAGTTCCAAACTCAATTTGAAATGATAATCTTATTGTAAAATATCTATATATGTAGGCTCTTCTTCAACCGTTGATTTAATGTTTATCTCCTCTGCTGAGGATGATGTTCCAGTGGAGGATTAGAAGGCAACAAGAGTTCTTGAAATAACAATTCTCTTATGTCACTTAGTTTTGTTTATTTTTTGACTTATACTATTTTGTTTGGTTCTTTTATATGGAAGCATTCTATGTAATGTTGTTTTTTGTTAGATGTTATTTGTTGATAATAAACTTTGAACAATTTTTTTTATACTTAATATTGAACTTGAAGAAAAGATTAACTTGATCATATGATAATCGGGTGGGATGGTTTTAGGAAATTGAGAGGAAAAGTTAAACGGGTTTGAAATCAAGGGTACCTAGGTGGATTTGGGAATGAGTAGGGCAATATGCACACTTAACCCCCCTCCCCCCTTGTATTATGGGGTCAGTGATAAATACCCTCTTAACTTACATTTGTGACAAAGACCCCTTTGAACTTTCACTTTGCGATAAATACCCCCTCTCTATTATAATTGGGTGGGACAGTTTTTGTTTAATTATTTTTTCTAAATTCCCAAGTTACTCTTTCTTATATATTTGATTATGATATGGTTGGTTTCTAAATATAACATTGAAGTGCCCTCAGATTCTCCAAATAGATTCTTGGTAGATTTTGGGTGGATTCAATATTCAAATGAAATGGTAGAGGTTTCTTTCTAATGAATATAAATTTATAGTTTCATTTGGTTTTTCTTGATTTATTAGGGAAAGGAGTGGATAATTTTTGTATTTTAAGATGAGAGACATTCATGTTAGTGAAATGAATCAAAAATTTAAAAAAGGATAAATTTCTTAAACTACCCTTTATGGTTTAGCTAATTGACCAAATGTACCCTTACTGTTTGAAAATTGACTAATGCTATCTTTACTATTTCTAATAATTGACTAATACTTCCCTTACTGTTAATATTCCTTCAAAAACCATTCAAATGTGTATCACCTGACCGTTAAACTTCCAAAAATACCCAACTTACCCTTATTATAACTTCCAACAGTCTCCCACCGAGTATCTCATTGTCCCCTCTGGCACCAACACTGGCATCTTCAAAACAGTGTCTCCGACACCGGTATCATGCCAGAGACGCTCTCTCTTCTTGGAAAAACAAAGACTCCTAACCCTCTTCTTCTTTCTTCTCTTTCTCTCTTCTTCTTCTTTCTCTCTTTCCCCTCATCATCGGTGATTTCTCACCATTTTCTTGGAAGTGTTTTGCCATCGCCACTGTATCATGAGTTCTCAAAGCCCACCACTCAGTCCTAGTAAAACCCACTATGGCGCTGCCTAGTCCTAATAATTTTCTCAAACCGAGCCCAGGCAATGAAATAGCTATTAGCTAAGGAGTGAGTGCCAGTATCGAAACCAGCAGTCGCAACTCTTTGGACCCTTCTAACCATCTGATTCCGCTGCTCCATCTCTCTCCCCAAGCCCAAGTCCAATCAATGAAATTGAAACACGAACAGAAATCGCTAAGGGTGGATCCATGAGTTCTGATGCAGCTGCTGGGGGATCTGATGAAAGGATTGCTTCTAAAGGTTAAAGGTGGATAAGGGCAAGAAAGCTTTCTGCTCGACTTTAGCTCCAACTAGTCAACAACGGGACCGAGCTGCATTTTGTAGATGACAGATAGGCGAACCGACCCTCGATGTTTTTACATTCCATCCCTCTGCTCGCCACCTGATCAATGAACCTCAGCCGTTCATTTGCAAGGCTGGCAACTGTGGGGGCTGAATTCTTCGTCTTTAAATCTCCATCGTTGCAGAGAGAGAGAGAACACTCTAAATCTCCATCTCGACCTCCGAAGTATGCACTGTTTCAAACACAATATTAGGCTTTTTCTACTAAAATGATTCTTGTTATTTTAGTTGGTTTCGTTTGGAGAAAATAGAGGTATTTTTCATCAATTATGATTTAAAAGAAAAGGACTAGGAAAAAAAATAATATAGTTCAGGTGGGCATTTTGGAATTTTATGCTCATTGGACTTAACGCCCAAGGGGTATTAGTTACAAAACAAAAGTTTAGGGAGGTTTTGTTGCAAATTTAGGGGGTATTCATCATTGACCTCATAGTACAAGGGGGTCTTTGTAATTTACACTTAATTTTAAACTATACACGATAATGAATTATGAATTTAGATTTGATCCTCACAGCAACCTCACATAACTTTTTAGTCATGCCAGAATATCTCCTGTACTTGTACATTGTCATTCATGGTGAGAGGTTCCCAATGCATGGCTGCAATGCATTGTCAGGTTGGTTTGAGGAGAAAATCCAATTTCCACATAAACAACTATACAATGTAATATCACCCCTTAGGCTGCATTTGGAAGCGTTGCAAATGGAATGTAAATCCCGGTTCAGGGTAAATTTGCACTCTGGTTCACTTTTGCATGTGTTTGGCAACATTACATTTATGCATTGACAAATGACAAATCAAATCATATTTACATTAATAATAAGATGTAAAAGTACATCAATAAAAAAGAAGTAAATTTGCATTCAAGTGGGCTTTTGATTATTAAAAAAAAAAACATATGCTTTATTGAAATTCATGTTTGCATCCATTACAGCTAAAATTCTGTTTGGTAAAAAGATAAATTTGTCATTACAAAACTAACAAACTTTACAATTTATATGAACCATTTTACACTACATATTTGCTTTGTTTCCAAACGCAACCTTAGGTGCATTTTAAATTCATGCACACTGTGCAATTGAATGTTCATACTTGTAGAGTGTAGGGATTTTGCTTTTAGGAGATCCCACTTGAGATCTGCTGCGAACACAAACATGTGAACCAAGTTACAAACCAATCACTAGTGAACATGCTTAGTGTTCAGTACACATGGGCCCATCACCTACAAAGGCCCATCCTACTTTCTTGAACTCTACATCTATACCTCTATATTAGGGGTGGCAAACAACGCACCCATATTGACCCACTAACTCATTAGCCATGCCACCCATGTTAGTGGGTCAGAATGGGTCACAACCCACTCCGACCCTGACCCACCCTAACCTACACATTTGACCCTCTGATTCAAAGTAAACCTTTTTTTTTTATTTTTTATTATAATTGAATAAAAACAGAGACCCATATATTTCAACTCAAAAGCGTAAAAATTTCATTCAAATTTTCAAATAAAAAAATAAAAACATTAAACATTAAAACACAAAATTGGTAAAGAAATATACATTCTGTGTAAAACATCAGAAATTGCAAAAAAAAAAAAAGAAATAACAAAAAATTAAATAAAAGTATAAAAGAGAAATTGTAAAAAATATATAAAGTTTTACAAATATATAGATAAATTTACAAGAATTTGCAGGAAAAATCAGAATGCAAAAAATACAAAAATTAAAGAAAATGGAAATTGCATAAAAAACAAGAAAAATATAAAAATTGTAGAAAATGCATTAAATGATAAAAATTACAGAAAACACATAAAATTATAAAAAAAATAAAAACATATATTTCAGCCAAAATAAAAAAATGCATAAAATACATAAAATACATAAAATTCAAAAATTATATATTTCAGCTAATGCCAAGAATTAC